AATACATCCCAACCAAACCCTTACATAATCCAAAATCTCTATACCTTTCTGAAACGGGTCCTTTGGTGCTTTCGTCTTGCCGGGAGCTGCATGGGGATCCATGTACGGGGAATGAGGGTTCAGCTAGCGTTCACTTTGGGGTTTTCGAGTACTGGCCGTGCAGTGCAGCCTCCGGAACCAACGATGAGGTAAGACAAATCATGAGGGTAATAATTTCTCATTATAATTATAGTCCTCCGGGGTACTGAGAAGAAACCTTTGTTGGACGATGTCTGCCTTCTGAAAATGATTCTATACTGAACACGGAGGAAGACCCGTCTCAGCCACACTCAAAACTAAGATAGGGGCCTTAATAATTAGAATAGGTTTTGGAGGGCTCCTTATTATAATTAAAGTAGAATATACCCCAAACCCTAAACCCTAAACCCTAAACCCTAAACAGGCCTATTCTAATTATGAAGGCCTCTCTATCAGAACCCTTAAGCTCCATCTTCTTGCAGCGGAGTCCTCCGCTGCTTTGCTCTTGTCCGGAGGTGCTTTGGGATCCTTGCAAATCGAATCAGATCTAGGGTTTAGGGTTTAGGGTTTAGGGTTTAGGGTTTAGGGTTAAAGGAAACTACAGGTGGGGAGTTTAGGTTATAAAGGGCTTCTATAAGGCTTCCATAAGGTATATAGACCTTCTATAAGGCTCCTATAACGGTAACTACCCACCTGAAAATGTCCTAGATTAGGGCTTAGGGTTTAGGATTGAGGGTTTAGGGTCTGGGGTTTGCAAATGGAATCAGGGTTATCTAGAACCTAGAAGTATCAATCGTATCCAACTATCGCCCCTCCACAGGTAGAGTACGAACATCCCCAGAACCCAACGTCTTTACTGATTCAGCAAACCTATATGCCAGAATTAGGGTTTTCGGTTTTGGGGTGTCTGAGTGCTGGCCCTCGGGTGTGCAAGTCTGGTAGAGTGGAGGGCGGAGGGGTTTTGGGTTTGATGTAGGGCTCGGAGTAATCAGTATTAACATGTCTGTATAGTCCTCTGTTTTATTCTAAGAGTTATACTGCAGTAGGCCCAAGAACTCTGATCATATTATTAGAGACCCTATATTAGGGTTTAGGATGTTGGGAAGTCGGTGAAAACTTCTTCCAGGGTCGTATGACAACTGAAACCCTTGACCCTCAACCGTAAAACCTAAAAGTTGTGAGTCCTTAAACCCTTAAACTTGCTTCCCCAATAAGCCAGGGAAATACAAGGTTCAACTTTCAGATTGCTACTAAAATATAAGAACCCATAAAGTTAAAAGGTTGGGTACTGGGAACTAAGTAAACCCCAAACCCCCAAGAACCCTGAGACTTCACGGACCTCAATCAAAGACTCTAAACTCCATATCTTTCTGAAACGGATCCTCCGGTATTGTCGTCGTTTCCGGAGTTGTCGTAGAATCCTTGCAGGCGGACTCAGGGTTCAATAAAGGCTTATTGCTCTGCGTCGTCTGCAGATTTCTCCGAAGATGATAGGAGAGGGTTTAGGGTTTAGGGTTTAGGAGGCACCGACAGCTCTTAGGGGCCAGAATCCTTGCTTGGAGGATGTATGACTATCGAAACAGGTCTAGGGTTTAGGGTTTAGGGTTTAGGGGTGAGGAATCGGTTAGGAAGAGATCCTTTCAACTGTTTTCATGGCCTAGGCCGACCACCTGCCCTGCGCGCACATATAGTAGGCCCCGTTGCCAGAGATCGGTCTTCACGGGCCTAGTGCCCCTGTTTAGGTCCCCAAAATAGTACGGCACTCTCATAGAAAGGACCCTTCAAGGGACCCTAATGTAGAGAACTACCTTTATGAACAACAAACTTCGGTTCACCCTAGCTCTTCGGTTTACGTGTGCGATTGAAGCAACTGGGTCCGAGCAAAGTAGTCTGCTAAGACGGGGCCTTAATAACTAGAATAGGACTTTGAATACATTATACTACAATGAGAATAAGGAACCCCCAAAATAGTACAGGCAACTATGAAGGCCCCTATATTATAAAAAGAAAAGGGTTTGGCTGGCTTAGGCTTGGCCGCTTTAGACATGAGTTAACTTGCAGCTCCACATCACGGGCAAAGCCTCAACCCCATCAGCCCTACCTCGCCTCCACGCGAACTAAATCCCAACTCTGTATCTCCCTGCGCGAGAAAACCCTAAACCCTGAACCCTAAACCCCAAACCCTAAAACCCTACAACCCTGAACCCCCAACCCTAAAACCCTAACAACCCTTAACCCTCAACCCGAATTTTTTGTCGTGCCAGTGTCTGCGTCAGGATCCGCCGGCCCCTCCCTGGCGCTGACGTCTGTTTTGCGATCTGCGAAGTGTCTGTGCACCTGGTTAGGGTTTATGGTTTAGCATGGGGTTTCGGCTATTCTATGTGCCCCAGGATGTTGTTAGTGCGAGTTTGTCAAAAAAACAAAAACAGCTGTGTCGGCACTCACCTTGGTGTTGCCGTTCTTGAAGTGACTCAGAAACGGCTTAGTATGGAACTCGAAGCCCTAAACCCCGATCCCAAAGCTTGAAGCCCTCGATCCTGCAACCAAAGTTAAACCCCAAAGCCAGGCTGTTACAACAAAATGAAATCCCACAGCCATACCTTAAGAACCCAAAACCTACCTTTTTTGTAGGGTCCCTATAAATCCCATATTAGGGTTTATAATAAGAACCCACAAACAAGTGGGTTTTGGGTTCTTAAGGTAGACCATGTTGGGCATCAGCAAAAACATTGCTTGGCTGCGTGCCCCGCTTTTGGTTCCTGACTTCGAGGGAACCGCTGTAGGTCCAACATTGGGGCGGAGCGGTAATGCGGCAATACGGCAACACGCTCGTCAACAAATATAATTTCTATTTATCCTGGGCTTGAGGGTTTAGGGTTCAGCGGTGAGTAACCCTATAACCCTAGACCCTAAACCCTATACTCTCTGATGCCGGCCTCGCGCTGATATCGAGCAGGTCTCTCCGCAGCAGCGCTGAAGATAAGCACCCTCGTTCGTGATTTCGGTTTAGGGCTTGGCATTGCGGGGAGCTCCAGACCATGATGCTTCTCTTTAGGGCTTAGGGTTTAGGGTTAAGGGTTAAGGGTTTAGTGTTTAGCGCGTTTCCCCAAGAGTATGCCCCAAACCCAGAACCATTCACAGTGGTATTCTAGCAGGCAATGGAGCCTGGTCAATTGTAACAACCCCGGAACAGCTACGAAATTGAAGGTTTGCCCGAGCCTCACTTTAAATTGCATGGCATTTTCCTTCAATACAGGTTCTAGACGACTGCCGCGTGAATAATATGCAGACGCGGATAATTCAATCAGTTTGCGCCGACTTCCCTCTGCCTTGTTTAGGGTTTAGGGTTTGGGGGGTGTTCGGGTTTAGGGTGGTTGCAGGACGAGGCTGACTGACCTGAACCAATGGGTAGAGCCAACCCCTGCACAAAACGTAACATCTCGCTGCATTGTCCTGTCTAATAAAACGCCAACTTGACACCCTAAACCCAAAGAAGCATCTAGCCCCTAAAACCTGGAAAGATGCACTCAAATTCCTTCTCTTCAACACTTCCGTCGAACAAGTGTCTTGAAGACCAGCCGCCCTAAGCCATGACCCATAATATCGTTTAGGGTTTAGGGTTCAGGGTTTAGGGTTTAGGGTTTTACATTCCCGATAACTTGGGTTTTTTGTCCAGCAGCAATATAAGGCTGTTGATGCTACGTCTTCCAGCATCAACAAGAAGCATAATCTAGGGGCTTGAATGGTTACTGACACTGTGTTTGTTTATTTTTGTTGGTGGGGGGGGGGGGCGGTCCCTCACTGTTCTAATCAGAATCATTAAGGCCCCGATAGTAGTCTTATCGCTACGGGCTGCTAGCCTCTCAAACAGTAGGTCCTAGTTGCCTTCCTAGCCAACTCAGACTCGGCTTGTGGCTCTGCGTTGAAGGCTAGGGGGTCTGGGGGGGGTTTTGAAGTTCTGGGTTTGGGGGTTTTGAAGTTCTGGGTTTCGGAGTTAAGGGTTGAGGGCTTCGAGGCTTTGGGCTTAAGGGTCTAGGGTTGGGATCTACAGCCCGGGCTCGCGCTTGAGGCTTTTTGGGCATAGGCTTTCTCGCTTGGGGGCTTCGGGGCTTCTTCAGGGCCAGCTCTTTGCTGACGAAGATCCACAGGAGAGCGGCAGAATTTCCCAGGAAACTGGCTCTCATTCCGCCGCTACGTATGGAGGTCCTGACATTAGTGACAAGCTGCGTCTCGTCTTGAGCCGCAGACGCAGAAAAATGGAGGTTGGTTCAATCCCAAACCAACGGAGATGAGCGGACTACAGATCATGGACTTCGGGCGTAGAGTCTTCACCTTGATCCCTGGGAAGGAAACTAGTATAAGCCCTGTTTTGCTTTGCTCTTCCGGTGCAGTGCCGATGGTATGCTGAGTCCACTGGCAGGACACAAACTGACCTGTTTATCATGGCAGCAGCGATGGTAGGGTTGTGCTTGTACACGCTGCAAAGGGCTCACAGCTACCAACTAAGCTACGATGCTTTGCTGCCAACAACAAACAAGCGGTTTCACTCCTAAACTCGTATCGAGTCCCGCAAGCCTCCAAGCCTGACGGGAGTCTCTTCACATCACCTCAGAACCCGAAACCCCTAATCGTAAAATCTCAAACTCCTAATCCCTACGACCCCCGACCCTCCTAACAACAGTGCCTACAACATGTAAAAACCTAGGAGCCTCGTTGACCTTTTGCTGGGCTGCTCCGTAGTGCCCTCAACCCCAGTCTATAGATTCTGGACTTCGACGAGAAGCTTGAATCCTAAACCCCTAAACCCCAAACCCCTAAACCCCGAAACCCGAAACCCCTAAACCCTGAAACCCCTAAACCCTAAACCCCTAAACCCTAAACTCTAAACACCGAAACGCCCCTAAACCCTAAAACCCCTAAGCCCTAACCCCGAAGCCCTAAACCCCAATTCCCTGGCAAAAACGCCCCGGGCTGAGGAAGACCTGAGAGTACCATCTGTCCCCAAAGGCTGCTCTACCTGATGGCAGGTCACGCGGCGAGTTGGATAATGTAGGGCCCTAATAAGGTTCAGGGTTTAGGGTTTAGGTTTTGGGGCCCTTTATACTATACTTATATAAATAAGGAACCCCCCAAAAATAGTATAGGTAAACATTTACGCTTCTATATTATGGGGGGAGGCCTGAATACCTCGTAGGGCTCCTTAATAAAAACCATAGTAGAATATGCCGAGGCACTGTCTAAGTATGAAGGTTCATACGCTAGGATTTCGTGTGGAAATCATGATGGTATGCGGATGTTGCCTGGATGTCGACCCAATATAGCAAATCCCTTCAGTACATTTTAGGAAACCCTGCTTCCAAACTCATTGCTCATGGGCTTGAGGACAACATGTTCGGGCTGTGTTTCCGAAAGTTGTTTGGAGCTGTGCCCTCTGTGGCTTTGTGTTGGGGCCTGTGGCGTCGCAGGTGTACCCCAGGAGCTTTAATCTCATGCCCTATCTGAGTAGACCCTAAACCCTAAACCCTAAATGTCGGCCCTTGCAACACAGACTCTTCGGTGGTTTTGTGCCACATGCAAAGGGTCAACAAACATCCAGCTGGGGAAGCAGACGATGCATCTCCTAACTGTGGGAGTACAAATAAAGGTTACATGCTTGTCCTTCGAAGAGCCAAGCCAGCGTGTTTATCTGATTCCGTACTGGCGGAAAAATGTCGAAACTCGCGACTGTGTGACTGTATCTGCGGGGGTGCTGATGCCATTCTTGCTTTTTCACACGTTGAGCGTGTTACCCTCTTCCCCCGAGCAGAGCTGCATGGCAAGGTGACATCTGCGAGCGCCCCGTTGACTTGTCCTCATGTGCCTTTCTTGTTTTTCCTCTCCTAGAAGGGCCCGATCCAGATGAGCTGTCAGGTTGCGACTGCCCGAAGATCCGAGCAGTGGCTGTTGATGAGCAGGTTGTAGTTGGAAGCACAGGTAATACAAGGGCCTAAATAATTACCTACACTCTTTTGGGGGTCCCTGATTATAGTTACAGTTATAGTATAGTATATTATAGTGTAATAAACACCAAAACCCTTTTCTACTTATTAAGGCCCCTCTATTACCCCTATCCCGGCCCCGAGCCAAGGGAGAACCTTCTTGAGAAAAATCCTTCAGGCTAACAAAGCTTCAATTAGGGGCCTTAATATTTAGAATAAAGTTTTTGGGGCCCACTATACTAGAATTATTATCAGGAACCCCCCAAAATAGTATTGGGAAACTAATTTAGGCTTCTATATTTCTATAGGGTTTTGGGGCCCATTATACTATAATTATAACAAGGAACCCCGAACTAGTATTGGGGAAATTATTTAGGCTTCTATATTTCTTCATAAACCCACAAAGCCAACTCCATAAATCGCACCTATAAACTTCTTAGTGCCAAGCCTCCTCAACCCGCAGCTAGCTAGAGCCACACAGCACCCTACAGTAGCCCCGGCACAAAGAGCCTCAAAACTGGATCCTAAACCCTCAGTCTTTTCGCTCCTGAAGTGTTTGGTTATCTTATTTGGGGCTCGTAAACAACTATTATTGTTAATAATAATAATAATAATAACACTACCACCACTACTACTACTACTAATAATAATAATACTAATAATAAATACTATGCAGCCAGATTGCAATCAGGGGCAGGGTCATAAATCCCCAAACTCCAACCCCTAAAATAGGGACCTTGATGATTCGAAGAGGGCTTTGGGATACATT